TAGAGAGGATACACCAAACCTATCCCTTAAATTGGGCAAAAAAAAGGATGGATTTGTAGGCCGCATAACGAGGAGTCCTGGCTGCGCTATGACATAATTGGCCTTTGAATCAGCTGCCCATGAATTCGAACACAGCCATACTACTCTGCAGTTCTGGAGGAGTATGGCTGTGTTCGAATGCTGGATGCTGGATTCTCTTCATTTATTTCTGTATGTTTCTCCCTAGCATCTCTAGTGTCTGGTTTCTGAGTTCCAACCCTGTTATTTCTGGATTTACGTTTTATACCACCTCCTTCAACATTAAAACTGCAAAAACTATCTCTGCCACCTCTACTCAGCATTTGGTTCCACAACAATATCACCAACCCTTACATATATTATCTCTAATTATTGGCAAAAGCCTATATATCAATGTGTAAACAATTCCCCTTCACAAAACTGCAAAAATGTGGTAATAGTTTTTAATCTATCCTACAGATTGTGCTGCATTTCTTGTGTTTCAAGATACAACTGCAAACCTGCCCCTCCAGTTTAAGCGCTTAAATAATGAAATGTGAGCGGGGAACATGTAAATACAGAGATAATCAAAGAACAACAACAAAACCAATAGATATTGACAGATATGTCAGCCACAAACAACAGGACTAAATTGGTTGCCTTGGTATTTTCAAACGGAGGCATGTGATATTTGCTTTCTGTGGCTGCCTTAAGCATCTATGTGTTTACAGAAGTTTTTGGTGCCACCAGGCTAATCAGTTTCCATATAGTTGCACCTTATGAAACTGGGCCTCCTAGAAGTTAACCGAGAACAGAGCTATATCGTATCTCATGTAAGACTTACAGCTGGGCCGGTTTCACACTGAAACAAGCAGATGTTTCACCAAATCTAATTAGATCGATAACAGCCCCCGCTGCTACATGGTGCACCTTGCAGAGGTATTGTGTTACATTCATTGCTCAGTCTAACTATTGTGTAATCCACTCAGTGCAATTATGATGACCTAAATCAGGTTACTCGGATTCAGTTCAATCTGTTCATTTCCTTTCTTTAGCAACCGAAAGCTCCCTAGTTTTTTTCTTTTGTACCACTTCGATGGATATGAATCAAAGAGAGGAAGAAGACCTGGATGAGAACATTCCAGTCAGCTTTTAATCTAAACCTAGTCGCAATTTCATATTTTCTGAGTCTATGCTTTATTCAAACAGGATCATTTATATTTCTCTACTCAATGTGTAACTTTTAAACACTGTTTATGCGTTTCTGTCCTTTAAAATTGGCCTGCTTTATCCGTTATCTTTCCTGATGTGTATTTAAGATCTCTTTACTTACATAAAAAAAAAAACCAAAATCAAAGTGTCAGAGTTTCACAAACCTAACTAATATTTCATATGATGTTGTATTTATTACTTATTTGTAACTTTACAAATATACTTCCTCTAATAGTGGCTAATATCTCAATTCACAGTCTGATCATAATCTTATTTCCTTCAGAAGGCATTTGGCCTGTCCATGTTTAAGGATGCAAAATTTTGTTGAGATGCAAGGCACTGATTTTAGAGGAGAGTCTACTTTCCAGGGCATAACTCTCTCATACATTTCCTATGTTAAAATAGGTTCACAGTGATACTACTAATGTTACAGCAGCTCCCATCTTATACGGTAATCAACTTTAGCCGTTACAGTTCCTGAGTTATCCTTTAACTATTCATTAAATATTCTTGAACTATTCATATTCATTCAACTTTCATTTGAGGTAATTTGGTTATGGTAGGTTCTTCCATTAGGACGATGATCCCAAATAAATATCTGACAGAATACTATCACTGATTTTGTAAAGCTTAAATCAACGTCCTCTCAGGGGGCCTGTAAGTTCCAGTTCTGCAAGAGTGTGATAAAATATGACCCATGCCAGAAATCTAATGATGACTGAAAAATAAGTGAGGTGTCCTTGAAGTTACTAAGCATTTATCTACACTTTTTTTTTTAATTTTACATACTGATGAGCATATTTGTATTTACAATTTTAAGTAAGCACTTATGCATACATTCATAATCAATTCCCTTATTTTAAAGTCATTTAATTTCTCATCTAAAAAAAGGAGACTTCCTGTCTCAGATTTCAATCTGAAACAACCCAATGAGTCAGAGATGACCGATAGCAAGCTCTTAAATGTTCCTGGTACTGAAGGGCAGTTTTTTCTAACTTGTCATTTCCAGGTTAGAGATCGGCACCATCTCTGTGTTTAGGTCTGAGGTTATTGGATAAATTGATTTCTAGCTGACCTTTCCTGTTCGCTCCGCTGATGCAAAGAGTTCTTAATGATCCTGTGCTGTCAGAGGTGGTGGAATCATAGATCCCAGCAGACACCATTAGTCTTCCATACTGGGGCTGACTTTCTGATCAAAGGAGTGGGCCCAGTTGATACACACCAGGTTGACACAACGAAAGCACCTGTTAATGCTCTGCAATATGTCATAAAATCCAAGAGGAGAGGCTGCATTTAAAAATCAACACCTCAGAAGCTGAAGCAAATAATTAAACTTTGAGGTAAGACTCCGTCCTTTGCATTGGAGTATTTATTGTCCAAAGCAAAAATAAGAAAGAAGTCCAAAATCTTTATCAGTTTTTGCCTTAATTAGTAAAAAAAAAAAATAAAAAAATATATATATATA